AGCAGATAGACTAGAGGGGAGGTATCTAGTCAAACGCACCCACCGCTATCCACCTTCGTGCTACTGCTAAGTTCGTGACCCCAACATCGTAGTATATTTATGCTTCTTCATCATGTGTTGCTTAAACATTGGTTACGCTGATTTTTAAACTACGTTCAGTGTTTGTTTATTCCGGTATTCCTTCAAATTTACAGGGGATATCTGCGTTAGCTGTCCTTAATTTTGAGCTGATAGACTAGAAGGGAGGTATCTAATCAAACGCACCCACCGCCAACTTTACAACTACTCTATTCGAATAGTTAGATTTGGCAGTAACACCTTAATAGAGTACCACACTTCTAAAGTGCTAATACTAATTTTGCGTCAACGGGACGTGAACATTGGACCCTCGGGTTTATAGTCCGGCATGCTAACTATTATACCACGCCTGAATCTGCTTCTAAGTGAACATTATTTCAATTAATATTAAATCTGTTCATTTTATAAAGTATAAATAAGTGTTTTTTGTTTGCAAATATTTTAACCTAAGGACTTACTCAATAAAATAATATAGGTATAATCAAGAAATCGTTTTTCAAAAGTTCCAGGTGCACGATTTGTTGACATATGAACAGTAATGTACTCACTACTGTAGGAACAATTTGAAATAGAAAGCTGAGTAATCTATTTACTTCGCGCTTTTCTTCATAGCAATCATATTGTTATGTATAATGAAAGTTCCCCATTGTGTGTACAACTGCCAAGGCTTCTTACACATGTATCGACTTTATATACGCAGACATCTGGGCCTATTCAATGAAATAAGAAAAATGTTACTGAAATTGGGCCTGTATGAAAATAAAAAGTGAAAGTTCCATATAAATACAAATTATGAAAATATGTGATTTTTTATAACATTTTACTTGAACTAAGAAATATTTGTCAAAAGTAACTTTTTTTGTTTCTAAATTAGTTAGACTAAAATAAAATACTTTCCGATACTGATGAAAAATTATTCTCTGTCCTGTGTATCGTGCAAATGCATTTCAGGTTTTCAACATCCTTTAGTAAGTCATTTGTTTTAAGTTTCAGTTTTTCGTTCTTGTGCTTGTTTGTTTGTTTTTTTTTTGCTAATATTCTTAATAACCACCGCTTTTTTTTAGGTTTCCTATTCATCCTCTCCCACCTCCCTGATGGGCTAACGGAAAGTTTACGAACTTACAATGCTAAAATTGAGGGTTTGATTCCCCGTGGTGGTCAAGATCGTAGATAGCCATACTGTGTTGCTTTACGACGATAAAACAACATCTAACCACACCTTTTTTTTGTCCTTTAGTAACTTGTTTTTGTTTCAGGTTTTCGTGACATGTTTTAGTTACTTTTAGCTCTTTATTCTGTTTTTATCTTGATTTTGACTTTTAAACAGTTATAATACCCCTAGTCTAAAAAGCAGAAATTAAAATCCTAAGATATTCGAAATAACCATGTGATTTAAATAAATTTGCAAAATATTTCAAGCACGGTTAAAAAGGTAGATGAGTCATAAAATAAGAAGCGTATTCAACGGCATTTCGCGGCTCGAACCTTACACCCTCCGATTTGCAGCCAAGTACCCTCCCTACGCCATGCCCGAGATTCACAATAATGAAAACAAATTCTGATTATGAGATTCTCCTTAAGAATGGCGTTTAAAGTAAGACCAAAACTTGTTCATTTTAAACTAACAACAACACATGTAGGAAATGTCACAAAATAATAAAGTTTGTTGTCGCTTTATTGTTTAAAGCCTACTGTGATATAAAATATGTAGGTAAGTGTCCACTGCAAATATTTTATTATTTTATTGTAACTGTTAAATCCACATATTAGTAATATATTATATTAGAATAAACTGTTTAACATTGTTGCCCAATGAAACCTCAACCAAGATACCAGTGGCACTGTGAATGAAAATAAAATGCATCCTCAGGTCAAAAGAGCAGATAAAGATAAGCTAAAGTACAAACTATATTAACATTATTGTCCATTTACATCAACCCAGATAACAGTGGGCCCGTGTATGAAAACAAAACGAATCCTCAAGGCAGAAAATCACATAAGGAGAGACTAAAGTACATGCTATATCAAAGTTGGAGATAAGCATAAGTAAATTTAAAAGCTAACTCATTTGAATTGTTACTTTAAAAAAAAAGTAGAAAGTTCAACTGGTTTTGGAGGCGTAAGAACATGTTTTTGACTGGGGGGCATCAGTTTTACTCTCCTTCTTAGCGGAGTCTGGTGCTATGCTCCCCATAATTCAAACACTTGCAGAAATATTATCTATAATTCAAGGTTCAAGAAAATCTATTGAAACACTAAAAACGAAGCACAATATAATACAATGGCACAGAATGGTACAAATATAAAACACGTTACCAAAATATTGTTGTCTCCTTTCATTTCTCATGATACAGCTGATGGCAGTGCTTTCATCATTAGTTTGAAAAGTTTTGTCTTTGTGTACGTATAGGAGCACGGCATAATTAGATATTGGTTGGGACATTGTAGAGCGTAGATAAGTTTTCAGGCATCTAGATAAAGGTTCTCACTGGTGTTATGACTGGTAGTGCGAAAAATATTTAGCAGACTATGTACTTCAGCTTATAGCTCACTGCTAAAACTTATTCATAATGTCACAGATAATTCCCACTTGCCACTCTCTCTTTAGTAGGGCACTATTAGGAGGCCATGAATTTTTTTGTTTTTATTAAGACCAGGTGTCACCAGCTGCTGAGTTTTCAATCTTTATAGGTCGACACCATTCCCGTACAGTTGTAACTCGTCAGAAAGTTCTCCATCTGCAACATCTATCAAAATATTTTCCATCATAGCTACCACTGGCACACCACATATCTGCTGAACTTGACACTTCGCATACGTGATTAACAAGAAAAGAACTTCAAAATATTGCTTTCTAAGATAGCTCTCAGGGATGGACAGTTAATGACCAACAGCTCCAGCATCATCAGGTCTCCTTAGATACCGTTTATCCCTAAGCAAGGCGGGACGTGAAGATGTGAAGGGAGTTCTTTTGAATCTTCAACAGCTTTTGAATAAAAGTTTCCTAACTGAAGAGCCGTATGTCTTTACTTGCAAGATACTGAACAGCTACATCAACAGCCGTAGGAGCTTCGTGAATTATTGTATTCTTGTAATGTTAAGAATAATTGATCCGTTCCAAAGAAGATCAGGTGAAACAACTTGAGGTCCCCAGCTTTTTGGCCATAATCATCATAAATTGGAGGATTGCTCTCTTCTAAGGCCACACAGAGAATGGTGTAACTGCTTTAGGACAATAGAAGTGCTTCAATATGAACTTTCCACTTTATATGGCTCAATGGCTTCGAGGTTTTTGACCTAGATGTTAGCAGTCTTTGAAGGACTGAAAAAAGTTTTGGTCTCTTAGGAAAGTATGGAATTCAGTTGAAATATTACCATAACCAGATCCCTACTGAATCCAATCATAAGTTAGTACAGCAAGCGAAAAAAAAAAAAAGAGAGAAAGAAAGAAAGTAAAGAAGAAACAGAGGTGCTGAGAGTCTTTTTCAATTTTAGAAATTAAACCATTAAAATAGACGCTCATGTTACTTGCCCATGTCATTGTGAAATTCAAAGTCTATTCAAGTAATCTTTCAGTACACTAGATGTTTGGTGGGTTGATTGACTCGCAATCTGCGGGTCGCGGATTCGAATCCCCGTCACACCAAACATGCTCGCCCTT